TCGACGAATCGCTGGAACGGGGAAGAGAGTGGGGAGAGGGGAAATTCCAGGACTGGATTTTGTCCGTTTAAGCCTGTCGTGGTACTTGCAAAATGACTCGGCTTCTTTTGTTTCTTCGAAAAAGAAACAGCCAGTCATGTTCAGCCCGAACCCTTCGTTAAGGCTATTCATCAGTTGTGAGGGTTATTTCGGGAGCAAGCTAAAAGCGACACGGATTTACTTTTGCATTTATTTTCTTTTTTTACAAAAGAAAATGATAATAACAAAGCTTACCAATGAAAGACCTTGACATATTTGTATGGCAATAACAACGAAATCCGTATATGGATGAGCAGTAAGTGCTAATGCGAGGAATAAATTAAGTATGGCAGCTATTAGAATAGAAAATCCAAATAATCTGTAATATTATTTCTAAACTTTGCGCCCTGGTGAATGGAACCCGAGAGAAAGCAAAAGATTACTCAGGCGGTCTCGAGAAAGAGGTGGCAAACACATCGAATAGACGATGTATAATAACTGGAGCTATGCTGCTCAAAGTCAAAAAGCTTGATATAGCTGCACCCGGCGTATGAGCACATCCCAATAAATTCATTCACGTGGTGTATCCCCACTGCCTACCTAGGTGCTTAAGGTATTATTTCTGAATATATTATATGCTCCTGGTCAACAATATGCTTTATCACGGTTTGGAAACAACACCTCGGGACGACTAAGCTTTGATTTTTTCAGGAGGACTGCCGAATTAACAGTCTTGTTAATTGAAGTGGGCTTTGGGATCGCGACAGAGCACTGGACAAAGGAACAAAAATAGCTGATTAGCTAGGGATTCAGGCTATGAACTAGAACTGAACAAATTATCAGTTATCTTTTGAAGGCAGAAGTCTATATGAAGTACCAATATCACAAGAAAATTAAAGATGCATTTATTTGAGCCTGTCCTAAGATCAAAATTGGAATATGCGAAACTGCGTTTTTTTTAAAAGGAAAATCCTGGAATAAAATCTTTTTAAGCCTGGAACTGTGAAAAAAACTCACAAATTCGGAGCAAATTTTGCGGCAAGCATACCGCCTGGTATTTGTGTGATTGCATAGCCATAAAAAAAGGCACTTTCCATTACACCAAGTTCCGTTGGCGACCAGTAAAATTTCTGAGTCTGAAAGCCATCTGAGTTAACAATGTGTGAACGCAATAGGAAAGTTGGGATCGAAGAAGAGGTGCACAGGTATCGAATAAGCAGGGAGTACTGTGCCGCGAAACTCCCGCGAAAAGCCGGCAGTTGTTAAAAGAGTGTGCTGCACAGGATGCGCAATCGTATGATACAGAACACTTATACGAGTACTGTAAATAAAAAATATAGGCGCTCCAGCAAGTGCATGGCCTAGTGGTGCAGTAATCTGACACGTCGACACGTCATGTCCAGATATGAAAATGACTGGTTCAATTCCCTTCTGGGGAATTTTAATAAAAAGGAGCTTTGACAGTTAGGAAATAACTAGTATAAAGCTCAGGTTCTGGTAAACTTGGATCTGCTGCCCAGGAAAATTTCAGTAATATCAGGAAACCTTAGCATTCTCGGTTAAACATTTGCATAGTTTGAATACTAACGTGATTATTGCCAAATGGATCGGTAAAATTATTAATCATACGCCCCTTTGCAGCACCAAAATTACAGCGAATTCCAAAAGCAATGATAAACCCAATATTGGCCAACAGCGCTATTTGCCAACGCTTCTTTTTCAAAAAACATACATCCTGCAGAAAAAAGAAAAATTTTGAAAAGAAAGGACTGGACAAAGCGAACAGCAAATTGCCTGCTGCACAGTTGAAAAATCAAGCTACCAATCATAGGTAATTCAAGTATCCAGAAAAAAAATTATCCATTCTAGGGTTTTTTACTGTCACTTCTCCAAAATTTGCAGAATTTCTTAGAAAAAAACATACCGATTTTTCAGAAACAGTATGAAGCTGCTGAATATTCTTCGTCCTTCGATTTGTTACAAAACTGCAAGCAAAGTTACTGTAAGTGATAATGTATGATTGATTACCTAACCAGGATGGCGAATAAGGGTTCCAGAAGGAACAGTCATATTTTCGCATTTGGTAAAGTTCCGTTTATCACAAAAATAAGCAGTATAAAATGACATTAGTGCTAATTACGTTTTCTTGCGTTTTAAAATAGATACTTCGGACAACTTAGCTTGGCTTATAGAAGCATTTCTCAGTAATATCACTAAAATGGGTTCCTCACACCGAGTGTTCTGTGAGGAAATGGCATTTATTATACAAATGAAAGTAGTGTTCTATAACATATGGCTTCTATAACATATGGCTTCGAGTATCTCAGCAGCGGTAAATTCTCGGTATTTGCAAAATCTTAAGCGATTTGCTTCCACGGCATCTTGTGTAAGTGGCAGTGAGCTTCATTATCATTATCACAAATTAATGATTTCAAAAAATCTGAAACGCACAGATAATTTCTTTCTCAAATTTCCAACTTTTTTTTGATTTTCAAAAATGTATATTTTTACAGAAAATAAGTAGTACTGGCTTTTCAGTTTTTGTTTGAGAATGAGGAATAAATTTGTACAGAGAACCTGACGAGTAGGACACTTACTGCGGAGTCAGTCAGTCTCGACATACATTTAGGTATGTAAACAAACGGATGAGTGAACAAGTGAACAAATAGCAAAATGAGTTCGAGAAATGCTCCGTGAGTAACTATTTGTTTTTTTTTTTCATTTTCTTCAAATAACAAATTTGTAATTGGCTAACTTTTTGGTTTTTTCGGCAAGATTAAATGGCCAGTGTTTGGACATTGACGCAAAGATACCATCTGCCACGTCCTGAAAATTATAAATCACTCTGATACTGAACCGTTATGGCGCAGTTCCTCAACTACGTAGCTGAAAACATTTCTGCTTTGATCGGTTCTACATCGTCGGCTGGTCACTCTACGGGTGACGACGACGTTCGTTTCGTCTCCTCAACTGGTTACTAACGCAGTGAGCGGCTCTTTTGACAGGACCACTTGGCAAAATTTTAAGTACTATTAATAAATAAAAAATTTTGTTATCGAACAAAAAACTGGAAATCCAAACAGTTTTATTAAACCTGTAATATTATTTGTTTATCTGATAAATCTTTCGCTCTCAATTTCTTTTTTTTTTTAAGTTGTATTCTCCACACGGCTTAGAAATACGTTCTTAGCTACGCAAACTGAGGCTGGAAATAAGCAACAATAAAAAATTTTTAAAGCCTAAGTGCGAAGCTGCATTATTTCTGATAAGCTACACCATCGGAAAGTAACTGGTGCCAGGTGCGCCTCTTTTACTATGCTTCATGCCTCCAAAAAACAGTGCATATCAAGCCGGCCTGGGCAAACACTGCGAATATCCTATGTCAGTGATGTCACCAGGATGTTCCCATAAGCTAGACACAGCTGCGCCGAACTTTTCAATCTTGAGCTGCATACTTCCAGTCGTTCCCAGCGCCTTCTTTCGTGGGCCATTGAAGTGGATAGATTTATAATTTGTAAAAAAAAAGCACATGCAAGAAAGATAATAGCAGAGGTAGATATCAGCCGACAATTACCATGCAAGCTAAAATTCGAAAAACAAGCAGTGTAAACACAAAAAAATTGTTAAATGAATTTTTGCCCGAAAATTGCTGGTAGAAGTTGCTCCTTAGGCTTTTTTGTAACCAACTATTCAATTTCGTATAAGGAATTAAGCAATTAAATAAATGCTTCCACCCTATCAACTTTTTTTTGCTGAGACTGGACGAAAATCAGGATCGCCAACAGACTGATCACCAGGTGAGCTTGTGATAAAATGCAATAGAAAAGTTGCCAGCTGCACAGCATGAGAAACATGCCAAATATTGCGACTGACCAAACTTTAAGTATTCATTTTCTGACAATCCTAAGAGTTTCTGTACACTCGTACACCAGTTCTTTTGCATTTATTTTTCCTTAAAGACACTTAAATACAGCGAGAAAAAGCAAACATACAGAATCGGATTGTGTTTTTTCGGTCGGATAATAAGACATCGCCATTGTTGGGCTGTACTCACTATTGCATTAATAATAAAAATACCTGTAATAAATATATTTGTTACCATAATTAATGCAATTTTTGCAAAAAAGGCGACGCAATCTGTTTTTTTGTCCCTTATGCACCATGTGCTGTTAAAATGGTTGAAACTTGCTCTTTTTTGGATAAATCCAGCAAATATTTTACGAGTACTGGTTTTTCCAGAGAAAGAACAAAGGAGAAAAGGAAATGGAACGAAAAAGCAGAACAAAGGAATGAACGTAAAAACTCGATCTGCAAAAGGAATTCCATGGAGATTTAAGCCAGCTAAATGTACATGAGACAAACAGCAACGATTTAAACAATGAAGAAAAAGAGCAAAATGGATAGCTTTCATTAAGTTATGAGTTAGAAAGCGAGACAATATCAACTACAAGAGAACGCGATAGGCCCACTGCACTTTTCAGTTCCACTGCTTAACCGGTTCTATTCAAAATATGGAATATTATACCTGCCGAGCACAAGATAGCAGCGAGTCAAAAAATTTTAAAATTGCACATATTAAACATTAGTAACTTGCAAAAACATCTTCAGTGAAGTGCTACAGTCCCGATTTGGGATAAGCGATATTATCAAGGCAGTGTATGCCAGAGAGTTGGATATTTGTCAAGGATGAAAGATAACATATGGGCAAAACGGATTACTGAATGATACCGGGTAAACTTTGAGCAAATTGCCTATAAGACGAAAAAATCCAGTCGAATTCCCATATGACGTGTGATATGAGAGCAGGGAGTCCAAAACT